GCGCGGGCGGGGCGGCTCCCAGAGTGCCCTGCGGCCCCGCCGCCAGGGGGCGCGCGCGGGCGGGGCGGCTCCCAGAGTGCCCTGCGGCCCCGCCGCCAGCATGGCCGCCATGATGCCGCCCCACCATGGCCGACCCTATTTGGGTCTATTATGGGGCTGTGGGGGCCGCAGGTGCCTCCTTTTACCCTCGTTTTTATTMGGTTCTGCTGCCCCAGAGGCCTGGGCGAAAGGCGTCAATAGCCGGGAACCTAAGAGGCGCTCTAAGAAAGCGATACCCGGCCAGGGGCCGACCAGCATCTGCAGGGAGCTCTGCAAGTCTCSAGTCCTGCCGTGTGTGCGCAAGTCCTAAACGTCAGTGTTTGCTGCCAGCTCTACCTCTAAAGCTGGGCCTCGGYGCTTGAGCTCAAAGGGAAAACTTTGTCCTCAGTTCTGCTCTTGATCCTCTTYAGCTGTGAACTGCGGATGATGCTGTAGGGGGTGGCCTCTGCTAAGGGCAGGGGTGGTTGGTAACACTCTGTAGAGGAGATGATCTGCTGCRCGCTGAAGTCCTGCTAAAGGCTTGATGAGCTTTTCATAGGCTGCTGAGTTAAACAAGTTTTGCGCCTTGCGGTGTGAAAAAAGTCTCAAGTTCTTACCCCACAGCAGCACCTCATTTTGTTTATGTCTGCTTTTGATGGCTTAGGATGAAAGGGAGGGGCTAAACTTTCGGTTTCTTTTCTGTGTTCGTCCTGGTTGAGAAACTGACGTCACTAAGGAGCTTTGTTTTTGCTGCCCAGGAGGTTTTCAGAACATCTTTAAGAGGGGAGGGGAAAAGAAAAAGCTTTCCTTGGTATTGTGGTCATGTAGAAACTCCTTAGAAAGTTTTTGGTACAAATTTCTTGTCGTTGTTGTTTCTGTAGCAGTTTCAAAGTGGCTTCGTTTTGTCAAAGATATGTATAGTTATATCATGTAGTGTATTCCTACTTTGTTTGACTTTGGGTTTTTTTTTTTTTTTTTTTGGAGCTGTTGATGGTGGTGTTTCCAGCACTAATTGTTAAAAATATGCTCTTTGTCCAGTGGGGGATTGAGGTTGATGCAGCTGTAAGAAATAATTATCTTAGAGACTCTTATGGGTTTCAGCTGCTTAACAAGGGAAAGAAATTTTTCATCCCTTCCTTTAAGGTGCTGTGTACTTAATTTTGTAAAGTTTGCTAGTTTTATTTTCTGACTTTGGCTTTTTTTCTGTGTGTCAAGTGAGACTGCATGTTTATGGTTTCTTGCCTTTTTCCTTCCCGAGGTGTTTTTAGTGGTGCCTCTAGTTTCTCACTTAAGATGAAATTTCACACACACACAAAAAGAGTGAATAATTTTCAGTGATGATAATTGTTGAGTTCTTATACTTTGGTGAAAAGCATAAACCAAAGCTTTTTTTTTGTTGAGAGAGGTACATTAAACAACCACAAACGGCTTCCTTTCATAACATGTAGAAGAAGGAAATTTAGAGACTATCATTTGGTCAATTCTTCAGTCTTTAAGGACTGATTTTACTTCTTATTAAAGGAATAATGTAAGTTTTCTTGTGAACAGATATGCTCCTTCCCACGTGGAAAATGCATAGTCTTCTCRTGTTTTCAAGACAATGAAAAAGTGGGAGATGGCAGGATTTTGTCATGTTCCTTCTTGCRCTTCGTTTTTTTATATATACTTTTTACTTTCGCTTTTACTTGATTTTTCTAGGCTGAGGTGCAGCTGAGGTGCAGTTGAGAAATTAGCATCCTGTTTTTGTTGGACAGTTCCTATCCCTTGTGCTTCCGGAAGCAGAATGGCAAATGCAGAACGGAAAATGTTGGTGGTTAAGCACTGTGAAACAAACAGCATGAGACTGACATGAGACTKTGCACTCGGGTTAGACTTGTAATGCTGAGGGGAAAAAATCCTGTTCCAAAGTTAACSCCTCTAGGCTCTCAGTTGTGTTTTAAAAAGCTTTGTAGAAGTATGAAACAAATCTAAGTTTTGTTACAGAGCTTTTGTATTTATAATAAAATTCTACATAGCAGTGAGGTAATAGTCTTAGATAATAGAGAACGGTAAGCAGACATTTGAAATGAGTGGCTGGGGAAAGAAGACGGCAGCAGAAGCTTTTAGTTTTGTTATTAAAAAAAATGAAGTAAGGGAAGGTAAAGTGTAAGTCTGAAAGGAGAAGCACATTTCCAYAGATAGGAAAACAGGAGTTCAGGAAGGATTTGTAGTGCAGAAAGCCATTGCCACGGCATGACTTCTGCCTGTGAGAGCAGCCACAAACAAGTGTTGGGAATGTCCTGGGAAGGGAGCACTGCCTTGGAGCRGAGCACAGTGCAGAATGGAAGGGCAGATCAGTCAGCAACAGGAGTGACAGCAAAATATATTTTGATCCTTTTGACTGCYCAGTTGAACTGAAGTGTGTGAACCCTTTTGCTTCAGCAGACTAGAAAAGGGGAGGTGTTTTGGTCTACATGAAATCAAGTTTATGGCAGGTAAATCTTTGACTAGTGCTTTTTCTGCCCTTTTCAGAAAGCCAGAAACACTTGTTTTAATCGYCACATGCTCTGATTACCTAAGGTTTTCTCGGGTCACAGTACACTGAAGCACAGTACTTGATAGATGTCTGTATTCTGTATTTGTGTGTGTTAAAAATCCAGAAATGGTGCTATGCAAAGTGACAGTTAAAGCAATATGCTTACAGAAAGATTGAAAATGCAAGTTGAGTTAGAATAAGCGAGCTGTGGGATTTTCTGGCTCCAACTTGAAAGCTGGTTTTTGAGGCTGTGAGTGCACAGTCGCATAGATGCTTTAAAATATTAGCTTAGAAACTTCAATAAATGGTTCCAGCCTTTGTTGCCACTCTTTTGCAGACAGTAACTGTATTTCTCTGTATTTTGGAAAGCAGAGAATGATTATAAAATATGTAGAAAGGCCTTAATGTGTATTATTCCGCTGTTCTCAAACCAATACCTTGCTCGAAACTTAAAGTTACAGAACAAGGACAGGATAGCCTTGAAATTAGTGCTCGACTTCCATGTAACGTGGAGGAAGATGATGATAGTGTGTTCACAGTTCTGAAGCTATTCAGAACTATGTTCAACAACATTTTAAGAACAATATTTTAATGCCCAAACCATGCATCATTCAGATTTTCTAACTATTTTCAGAAATAAAATTCACAGAAATGCCTTCATGTTCTGCCATCCAAGGTGTTTGTGGTAGGAAACCACCTTTGGTGTAAAGTTCCTTATTGTGCTGAGGGTGTGTAAAATAGGAAGGCTGCAGAATGCTGTTTGTGCGTTGGAAGCCAGAAGATACCCATAACACATGCCCAAAGAGGTGCCCCTGGCATGGGGCTTCTGTTACAGATGGGGCAAGGCCAACAGGACCTTTGTACTGTTTGAGAATCTGGTGTGGTGGGAATTGGCATCCCAGTGTGTCACCAACTGGATGGGAAAAAAAAGTGTGGAAAAGTGATGCACAAGTTGTTTCGGGCATCAAGAGCGAAGTTACAGGATTAGCTGAACTTTGCAATTTACAGAGCTATGTGTCTATAATTCATTGCAGGCAGTAATGTGTCAAAGAGTTTGGTCATTGGTGGGTATTGTTATAGCCATCTCCTTCCCCTATAACACTTTCTTTTTAGTTTGTAACTTCAAAGTGTTATTTGCCTGTCAAAATCTATCTCTGGATGAAATTTTAATGCAGCCTTAATAGAAGTGGCACAACTGGCATTTTTAGGTTTACTTTCTCTGTTTCGGAGTGACAGCTTGGATTTAAGCTTTATTTTTTTTTAAGTAAGGCTGTTGAGGAAAACAGTCTCAGCTGACGCCAGGCTCTTTATAGATTCAGTAGAAATTGGCAGGTAAGTTCTTCAAAGACAATCAGCATTAAACATGCATGTGCCAGGTGTAAGAAGAGCTGTGTTCTTTTATTCAGGTTACCAGGGGTACGCATTCAGGTGCTATGGTGAGCTGATTTACTAGATCACTGGGGCTATGAGAGGAGAATCCAGTTCCCACCACCTTCCTTCTTGCCCTCTGTGCTGGTGCAGGTCTTCCCATGTACAAATACAATTTGTCAATTTATTAATCTAGCAGAAAAACACAAGTTGGGGGACAGCGTGTTGAACTAGCAGTTAACCTGTTGCCTGTAGAATAGCAGATGAGCCAGTGTGATTGTAACCTTTTAAAAAAATAAGGGTAATTGACTGGCTAAAAGCTAAAAGTGTTGGCAGTGCGAATGCAGAGATTATAAAGGAGGTATTAATGAGTTCCCTTCTGGGATACTGAGTACAGCTGAGGTCAATTCCATTCAAGAAAGATTATTTTAAGCTGAAAGAATTGTAAAGATTTACTGGAATGATGAAATAAACTGGTTAAAAAAAGGAAACTAACAGTTTGACTTCTTTGGTCTTGCAACATGAAGTGTATCAGAAAAATAAACTTCCATGATAGAGTTTCTGACATAAAAATATTTCTGTAGGAATTTTGAAATTCTGACATTGTAGTTTTATTGATTATTTTCTGCCTGGGCATTTATGTATTACTGTCTTAAAGAGATGTTTTTTTTTTTTCTCCCTTCAGAAATCAGTCAATTACAGAATTCTTCAAACCAGTTTTAAAGCAAGGTAAATATCTGTCTTTTAATGTTGATATATGAGTTTTAGTTATATAAGAATGCAGAAGTTGAGCCTGATCTCATTTCAGTCTGGAACAGCTATATAACAGGTGTAAATCATCAAGTACATAAAAATGAACAAGAGGTTTTATATATATATAAATTAATGTAATTTAATCCTTTACCTCCTTACAGGGAAATGAGTATTGGTTAAAAATATTTAGAATGTTCGGAATGTTTGGAATGGATTGTTTGTAATACCTGAAGCTGTGGCATAGGTCGTGCAATCTTACTCCATGAGAAATGAGTTGTATACTGCTAATGAATGTTGAGTGTGCTTCAGTAAATCCACTTTTGTGTGTATGAGAGGTGAAATACTAAATACAGTCTAATAAGGAAATTGTTCTCTTCAGTATTGTGACCGTGAATAATCTTTTCATTCTATTTTTTTCCCTTAGATCTGGGCTGTAAAGACAGAACTGTGCTGTGCTCACCAGACAAAGGAAACGTAAAAGATGGAGGAACTGGGATGTCAGCTTTATGTGCTGAGCGTTTTGAAAAGAAAGTATCCTCTCCAAAGCAAGTCAGGAGGAAAAAGATGCCAGTCCAAGCACCAAGCACGAGTCCTGGGCTAGATGCCTTTCGAAGAGGAGTTAAGGGGAAAAGGGACAAGGTAACCTCCTTGGAGAACAGCAGAACRTGCAGGACATTCACTTCAGTGTACCCTAAAGTCGTGATTCAAAAACTCTTCATAACTGCAGGGTCATCCAGTTGTTCGTTGGCCCCAAAGGATAAAACCGTCAAGCAAGAACAAGGAAGAAATGAGAAGTGTCTGGGTGTAATGAGGACACCACTGTCATGTGGAAATAGCTGGGAACAGACGACTGACCGTATGGATGTAGAAGAAACCAGTTCAGACTCTGACAGATGGGTTTCATCACTGGAAGCCGATGCTATAAATACTCACTCTAGAAATAATGGGCATGTGAGCAACACAGCTCTGTGCCAAAGTCCAGGGCATTCTGTGAAAGTGCAGGGTGCTTCAGGTGATCCCCAGTATAGGCTATCACTGGAAGCTCGCTGCAGAGAAAGGAAGCAGAAGCATAGAAAGCAGCAATCTAAGCCACATGCAGCAAAGCCATTCTCAGGAATGAGTTTATCACATCAGGTATGCTTGAAAAGGTCATTTAGCTTCAAGTCTGTGACAACTTTTTAAAGATAGGGTAAGATTCTTGGTGCTCCCTCTTTCAGATGTCGCAAAAGTTTGTTTTTCTCTCTGACTTTTAAGTCATGCTTAGGTTAGCTGATGAACCACTTCAAATAAGAAAACCCAGCTTGAAAGCAGTCCCCTTTTAAAAAGGGGAAATATTAAAGCTGGGTTAGGTTTACATTAAAATAAAGCATCAGCTGTTTTACCTTAGTTTGTTTTCATCCTAGCTTTTTTTTTTTTTAATCTAGGATCTTCTTTTTTATCTATGTACCTCTTCTAACAACACTTAAATGCCTACGCTACCTAATCTGTAAATTACCTGGAAGGATAATAGACTTAAATAGCAAGAAATTGCCCATCCAATGCCTATATATTCCTGTTGAAGAGGCAAACTTTTAAAAAACAAAATGCAACAGAATGCCTTTGTATAAGCAGCAGCTGTGTAAAAATTACCAGTCAGCTCTTCTCAAGAACTGCTGCCACTTTTGCCACTGTTCTGTGCATAGGGCCCCAGAGCAGGTTAATTCCTCCTGCTTGCACCTGCTGCTGCAACTGAGGAGTGAGCCAGCATGTGGTTGGCACCAAATGTGTTGGGTTGTCTGTTTTATTTATTTATTTACTAAATAAATCTCCTTTTGTTAAATCTGCTTTTATAGATTTCAGTGAGCTGTAATCTTTATAAATTGGCATTTCAAATTCAAATCATTTGAAAAGATAYCTACATAAAGAAATGATTAACTTCTCTCTATCTTAGATAATTTTTTTTTCTTCAGTGAAGTGGCAAGAACTCCTTGTGTAGTTGTCTCGGGAAGAGCAGGGTGGGAGGCTGTGACTGTTGAAGAGAAAATGTTTCGTTATAAACGATCATGTTCCTTTATAGTGCAATTTAGGGAGCAGCAGTGGCAGTTTTCCTACCTGACAGTTTTTCACTAGCTGAAGCTGCAGTTAGTAGCAGTTCAAATTCTACACTTAAACCACAATACCTGAATGGAGGAGGCGGTGGTCTTGTTTAAACATACTGTATTTCATTCTAGGTTGAAATATTACTCTTTTTCTTTACCAAACAAGCAAGTAGTTGGTTACTAGCAAAGAAAGTGATTGTGTGTCTCTAAAATAGAAAATAAAAGACTGGTTTGTRTCTTCTTAACGCCATACTACTCCACTGTTTCTTTGCCTGTGGCTACCATCTTTTTGTCACCTAAGTTCCTCAAGCCTTTTTTGAGGACAGCTGGGTCATGTCTCTCAGATAACTCAGGGAGGCAAGAAACTAATTGCGTTAATTACTGCTGAAGCTGGAGAGGTTTAGAGCCAGGGCAGATCTGAAGAGAAGGGRTAAAATCCAGGTTTGGGGCAGTCCTTTTGGCGAGCTCTTTGTAACCATCATGTTTCTGGAGTAATGGGAACAGTCTGTGCTAGCTGATTCATTGGACACAGGACAACGTTCTGCTTTTAATATTTAAATTAAAACTAATGTTTAAATTAAAACTAACTTCCTCAATCTTTATTTTTAGGGAAATGGATATCCCTTGAGAAAAAGATCACATTCTGCTTCATGGGAGACTGCAGCAGGTAGAAACAGTTCTGATAGTATGGAATTAATTGATAATTGGGTTTATCACTTAATGTATCTTTTWTTTAATGATCTTTTAACATTGCATTTTGCTGCTACATGTGTGTAGCTGAATTAGTTGAAGTCTTTGGTTTTGATGTGTATTATGACAGTCACGAGCAAGGAAAATAAAGTTGAAAGTGACTTCTTAGGATAATTTTGGCAATATGATGCAGAGGATGAGATGAGTTTTCATAGGATTTGAGAGGTTCAAACTGTAGTGTCAGCAGTTAAAAGTAGTTAGTAATTGGCAGAAATGTGGAGATTTAATATACTTTTTAAAAAGATTTGCTGCAAGTTTATTGCAAAGAATGAATTTTGTTAAGCTCAAAATCTACTGTGGTCTAGTTAGGGTTATTTCTGCTGTTTCAGTAAGGCTAAAAGTAGTTTTGGATTTTAATGAAAAACAGATTAAAACTTAATGAGAACTGGTCTTTATTTTTATCTCTTTTAATTTTTACTTTATTGTCTCAAACCTGATACAGTTTTGACTGACTTTATATAAATTGAAGTTTTTTTTAAAACACCTTTCATAGATGACCCATCTCAATCAAAACACGTTTCAAAGCCTGAGGCCTCTTCTCCAAATCTACTGAGACTGTCACCTGAAAAAGGCACCGTTATGTGGAAAAGCCAGTCTTTTCCATCACTCTGCATTAGTCCTAAGATGCCTTCTAGGCCATCCMAACAAAAAGACTCTCCTGGAAAAAGAAAACGCACCGCTGTCGGTTTGGATGCAAACAGCTCAAATCACTCTGTGGTAGCGAGCTTGAATGACTCTATTTTCAGTAGATCCTCTGAACAAKGCAGAAATAGGAAGTCTGACTTTGTAAAAACCGGCTTCTTAAAGTCTTTGTCTAATGGTGTTGTGCAGCTGATGGAGGCTGCTGCTCAACCCAGGCATGATTCTATTCTTTCAGAGGAATATCTTGACTCAAGCCATGAAAATGAAAGAAATAATGCCTCTTTTGTAGGTTTGTCACCTTCGTACTCTGCACCCAGTCCTATTAAAAATAACCAYGTTTCTATTGTGGATACCAAAGAGAATCAATTGCAGGTGCCCCCCTCATACTGTTTCTTGGAAAAGTCCCTTTCTCAGGAAAAAAGTACTGTGTTGCATTCTCGCCACCACTTCGCACAAACAAACGCTGTATTCACAGAGGACGCRAATTGTCAACTTCAAAATGCTGATTTATCTCAGGTTTTGGATGCTGCAAAACGGCAAGATAGAAAAAGACCAGAAAGGCCTGCACTTCCTAAAGCTGTTAGTACTGAACTCAGCAACAGTTTACCAAAATCTAAAGGAAAAACATCAGAAAAAAAAATCAACCTGCATTCAGTGGAAGATGCTTGGAAACTTGCCGTTTCAGAAGAGATTGGTGAAATAGTTCCCTGTTCATTACCCCTTAAGGAAGGGTGTGTAGAAGGTGGCCCCACGTCTTCACAGCTGTCAGAAGAGTTGCAAGTTGAAAAGGGCTGTCCTGAGGCATCTAAACTGAATAGCAAATCAAAGAGCAGCATTGACAGTGAGGATGAGAGTTTGGAATGTGATCTCGATGCAGATGATGATGATGAAGATGAAGAAATACTCTTGCCATTGCAAGAAATTTTGTCTTCAAGTCCCCAGCCAGAGCTGGGAACYCTCGAAGGAGACTGTCTTGAAAATCTTTCCCAAGACACCATGAGTCCATCACTGAAGCTTCCTGTAAGTAGCAAAGAAAAACCAAATGCCTCTCTTGAAGCTTTGTTATGTTACGATTTGGTGKCTTGCTTTTGCTTTTCTCACTTTTTTGGGGTGTGATTTAAATGTATGAAAACTTAGGAGAATTTGCCTCCAGAACTGATTACTCAGCTTACTTAATGGTCCTGTAGTGTATAGTAAGTACGGTATAATTGGGGGAAAAAAGTGCTTATTATTACACTTGTGCTTGGAAAGGCTGAATGATGAYTCATGCAGCTATGTCAGCTGTATTCCTTTTAGTGGCTTTCAGGAGTTTCATTTTTGTATTTTCCCCCTAAACAAAATGGGGAGAGGTTGTGTTTAGGAGGAGTATAGGATTTAATGCTTTTATCGTTATGATCAGACAAGATTTTTGAGTTGAAGCTACTTATCCTGGTCAATGATTTGTGCTTAACAAAAATAGAGTTCTTGATCTGTAAATGTGGCATTTTCTTTGAGGCCCAATTACTGAAGTTTGAATTTCATGGTATTTCAAAGTTAAAGGTTTTCGCCAGCTCACAAGTGACAAATTGAATAAATATTTGAATCCTACTTAACAGTATATTGTGATGATGAATTAATCTGCATTTTTTAATGTTAGCAACCTGTCTGCCATGCTGTTACTGAACAAATAGCTCTTTAAAGGCTTTATTGTAAATTAATGGTTTAATTAATGGTTTAATTTTGGAAATGCTACACTAGAACTTAATGTATTACTGCTAACAAAGCTGATGCAGTTTAGGAGTGAATGGTTTTGAATAAAATCTTTCCAAGGGAAAAATAAAGCTGCAGTTAGCAGAATATCTGTATAAATCCCAGTAGTAGTTCATTATGTTCCCTGGATTTCTGTTGAAAGTGTTTCCATAAGCAGATATTGAGCTGTTATAATTACTTCATCTGTCCTCACCATTAATTTTGTAGGCAGATTATAGAGGAGAATTTTGTGGTCATGTGCATATTTCCCAATCTGAACCAGGCATGGCCAGCGTAATTGGTGGTTAAGACCGATAAGCAGATGCAGCCTAGATGTAGCTTAGGGGCATGTATGTGACCACAGACATTTGACTTACCCTCTTTCTRTATAATTATGGCCAAGAAGGGCAAAATATTTAAAAACCATCCCAAAATTTCCATAACTTTGACTTTTCTGTGCWGTCACCCACCTTTTCTTTGGTAAGAAGGGACATATATGCAAACTGGAGCAAATTCAGTTTTTCAGGAGTCATTAAAGTCATTTTGGGCACATTAACTGGGGTGAGGAGGGGAAGAGAATTTCAGATTTCTCCACCAAAAGTACCTGGTCTTTCAGCATACGCAGGTGTGCGTGGGACTTGTCTCCTTGCAAAAAGACTGAAGGATGTGTTTGCATCTGGTGAATATTGTCCCTCRTTAAGTGCAAGGATAGCACTTGAAGGAATTCTGTGGCATTGGAAAAATGTCTCCTTATACCATAAATTAATGCTCTATCAGCACTTTTTTTTAAAGCAGATGCACAATAATTTCCTAGGCTAATTAGTTTTTCTTCTGGGTAACAGTCAATCCCCAGTAGCAGTGTGTGCTCGTGTTGACTTGTATTCCCCTTCAGTTAGGGAGCTCGTAAAATGAACCTGTATCCCGAGTAAGGGTTTCCGGTTAAAGAAAATGGTCCAGAGAACTGAAATCTGGCTACAGCAATTTTAGGTCTATTTTGTTTGCTAATAAAGTTGTTGGCAAATAAAACACTGGCGACTGAAAATCAAGCTAATTGTGCTAGATGTTAAGACCACCTTTTTTCTTTAATTAATATTTTTACTGGCTTTCTAACTTGATGCTGCAATAGGATTTTGATGAAAAGCTTTGTTTTGTTTTATTTTATTCTTGAGGTGATTTGGTAAGCTTTGTTCCCTAGGAAATGGTGAAAATACCAAAGATGTGCTGAATTATTTGGGGAGTTTCTTGTGCCATGTACAAGAATGAGGTTTTTCTAGGGTCTCAGTGTGCAACARTGAGGGTTTCTAGGGTCTCAGTGGGTTAAAAATAGCAAAGCTGTCATGAAAAAAAMCTTCCGATGCTAATGCTGTTTATGAGGGCTAGCTGGAGATCTGCAGCAGGGAGAGAAGCTGTGGATTGCTCTGCTGTTCGGATCCAGTCTGAAGTGCAGTGGAGCCCTGATCCTCGAGTGCTGTTTATACTGTTACAGAGAGAGAAATAGCAAATGATATCCAAAGATCCAAGCACAGCTTTCAAAAGTGGTTTTCCAGCTCCTGGTGAGGCTTTGAAARTATTTAGGCAGTTGATTTCTAAATTTGCTGAGAGCGGTTTATAATTCTCAAGGGATTGAGAAACCTAAACTGTGATTCATCYTGTTTTTCAGGATCTCCTTTGCATTTTTACCTGCAGGCAAAATATCATTAAAATGGAAAGAGGTTAATATATTAACCACGTTTATTGTCTAGTAGCGAATCAATAATTTTTCGTGTATGTAATTTTTAAATGTCGTATTTCATTTCCAGCTTTCTAAGCCTCCTGTTGTTAGCCAGGTGTCATATGTGAACAGCTTAGAGCACATTTTGAAGGAGAAAGAAGAATCTAAAAGGTCAGTTTCTTTAAAGATGCTTTGTGGAAGCTTTGGTGTGCCTTGTGTTCCCCAAAGTGGCTGTAGTTTGGACAGCAGCAAGCYAAGCTCTGCACGGCCGTGTCAGAGCATATATCTGACTAGACATACAAGGACTCCTTGAGTGTGAAAAGCTGATTGATATTCTCCAGCAAGCAGTACTGAGTAACTTGTGATGCATCTGTCTGCCCCTTAAGAACCAGACTGGAATTACTGATGCTTTTGTAAGTCACTAAGCCAGCTAACAGCTGCTGGTCAGGCATGAAAGAACAATTTTTGCATATATAGATTACAGTAGTTTCTTCAAAGCCTTTTGTAATTCAGTTTTCATTTCTGAGATGTAGRTAGTCTGTCAGCATATGAATAGTTAAAATTTAGCGGTCAGAACTAATTCGTTTTCTTGCAAGAGATGTTTCTAGTAGAAGACATAATGCGATGTATGTACTCAAGTCTTTTGCTGCTAATGAGTGTGGATGTGACTGACCCCTGTGACTATGAGCTGACTGACTGTGGAGCAGTGAATGTTCATTCATAAAATAGATTTCTTAACTTTTAAAAACTTCACGTTAACATTTTATTGGTAAATAAGAAGTCCATCGACAAGTTTGAAAGGTGCAATTATAAAACAAAACAAAAAACCTCATAATGTCAGAATTTGGTTGAAGTGTTTGTCTCTGACAAACTAGAATGGAATGCACGTTTGGAAATTATTTAGGCATTGGGAAATAGCCACTTAATAGCTTAGGATGGAAAGCTACTTTTTTTGTTTTGCATGTTTTTGCCATTTGTAGTTGGCTATAACATTCTGTTATTATTGCAGGGTAGATGAACTAGAAGAACGGTTACAGGAAGACATACAGAAAACAGAAACAAATTCTTCAGATGGAGATGAGGAAGAGGGGGAGGATACSTTTGCTGATGGAGATCTCTCAGAAGAACACAGGTCTATCCTACTCTAAAGCCACTTAAATGTAGTTTTCTGTGTTTTTTTGTTTGTTTTTGCTTTTTAGCCGTTTTCCTGATCTTTTTCCTTGTTCGGTCTATTGCTGTTGTTACGTCTTATGTAAACTGTTTTTATCATAATTAYTTTTATTGTGGTCCAGCATATTTTTTTGGAAGCTAATTTTATTTTAATCTAATTCAGCTTTCACATGTCTGATTTTCATTCTTGAAAATAACTGTTTAAACCAGCAAATAAGCCTCTCACTATTTAAGCTCATAAAAACAATTTTGAATATTACAGGGCATTTATACAGAGATTTTCAATAACAGCTCAYGCCATACCTGACTACCACCCTGGAGAAGAAATATTTAACTTGGYAATGTCTGGAAAAATCTTCAATCAACACAATCTTGACTTGAGGAATTTTTATTTCATACCTCAGAATCCTATAGAAAAGCTCCTCCTTAGGTAAGAATATCCTTCTCACTGCCATTGTGTTTATTCACTGTGAGCATTAGCACTTTTTAAGATGAAATCATGCCTTTGCATGGAAATGAGCTTTGTCTTGCTATGGAGGGATTCACTTTTCAAGGAATTCTCTTATCCAGGTTAGGTTTACAGAACTGTGAATTGTTACTCAAAACTTCCTTCTTCCTCAAGAATTCTTGAAAAACTACCTTGGTCTTAAGTATTAGAGACACGAGCAAGAAGATGGGTGTTTTGGCCTCTTCAGTATTTCTGCTGTGTTGAGTGAATTTCTGAGCAGCTCTAGAAGTTGCAGGACTAACTTAATTGCAATGAGCAAAAGTCTAGYAATCCCAGTTAAGGAAGGAAAACCTTTGGGATGGATTCATTTGAGACTTGATTACTGTTATTTTAGGTCTGAAGGCTGAAGAGTTCTGCATGTGTTTACCTCATGTATGTGTGTTTGTCCTAAGTATGAGTTCACCTAACAAGGGTTGCAGAAAGTCACAATTTCCCACATTTGTTAGATTCGGTGACTGAATTCAGTTCCAAACTGTTCAATTCTGACACACTGTAGGAGCCCTTGTCCCAATGCCGCTTGCCCAGTCAGATGGATGGTATATGGGGAAGTTGGGAGATGTCTCTTCTAATAGATAATTAGGGCAGAGAAGGCTCAAGTGCAGTATGTGGGAAATTTTGCTATATTATGTCAGCTGCTTATGAAATACCTTTCAGAGACTGGAATTAAAATAATTCAATACAAAAATGTAGATATTCTCCTTTATGATTTTTTCACTTCAGATTTAGACAGCAAAATTAGACTGAACCTTTGTAACTGTTTTGTTTTGTCTCCAGGCTCTTTAGTTAAGAGAGTATTTAAAATTTTTCCACAGGAGACTTTCTATTTCTAAATAACTTGATAAAGATCAGTGGATAGCAAATAAGCTTACTCACTGGTCTAAGCATAAGAAGCCATTTGTGTAGACAGGCAAAATTATTCATACAACAGTAGTTCAGTTTACTGAACTCAGTTTACTCAGATTTACACTACTAGTACAGTAGTGTAAATCAATATTTTCAAATTTGTTCTCTAATAGCACAAATATTTCCAAATGCTGTGTTATGTCTTTCTAGAGAAAGAGTTGTTCTAAATTTGATCTTTTAAAGATGTTGCCATGAATAAGGTATAATTACCTTATGGTAGGAGTACCTTAAAGTAGTGAAGAGCTTCAGAAAACATACGTTAGGACTGTTCAGATTTCTCTTGATGCTGGTGGTGAGCTGGGGTTTGGGGAAGTTCATATACTTTATAGAAGTGCTGATTGAACCACTAATAGTTTCCCACTCTGTCCCATCTGTCTTTGTCTTGCAGYTCTGGTGCAGCCCAGCAGCTCTCGCTGGCTGTTAATGGCTTTCTGAGTTCTGCTTACAGCCGTGTCATGTGCCCCATACCAATTCTGAAGTGGCTTTTCCAGGTAAGACCTGCCCTAGTCCTGCAGTTCTGCTCTGTTTGGATATCATAGTTGCCTTGGAAGGCAATTGCAGCAGAACTAATCAGGACAATTTTGTGATTTCTTTTATTCTGCATTAATAACAGTTCTTTTTGATAAATCTTTCTCGTTCTTACTTGTTCTTCAATCTGAAATACTCGGATTGTCTTTTGATAAAACACTAGGAATAGTTTTTCTTCTTCCCTATCTGATTTGAAAATGTCCCTATCCATCACCATACATGGTACTTCATCTGGAAAGGACACAGTGCTTGGTAATTTTCAGGATGTTAATAGCATAGACCAGAACACAGGAATGTTACTTATTTTAGGTTGGAAGGAAATGAAATTTATGTGCTGGAGTACACAAAAGTGTCATTGCTACATATATCATCATCTAAATTATCAAAGGTATCTGCAGAACCAGGTAATTTTTGTCCAGAAAAGGTCGTTTCGCATCATGGCTCAGGAGAAGTTCAGAGTCACTCTCGGAGAAAGTGCTGTGGCTCTCTGCCTTCTAAATGTCTGTGGCAGCATAAATCCCCAGGGAATTTAGATTGCTCTGTCATTTCTTCATGAGAATGTCCCTCTCCTATCTATATTCCATTATTTCTTAATGAATTCTAACTGTGTCTGAAATGAAAAATAGAACTGAGCTGCCTATGAGTTTGCAGCTTAGGTCTGCTGTCTGACTTTCTGCTTTTGCCAAAGGAAAAGTTTTTTGCTCCTGTGTGTCCTTCCCTCCTGCTAGGAGCAGATTGCCACCCTGTGCGAGTCCTGCTGCTGCTCAAGTAAGGAGGAACTAAGAGCTAGTTCAGTTCACTCGCAGAACAAACTGTCTGTGGAGTAGGAGAAGGATTTCCATGGGGCTAGTGCAGTGCTTCTGCAAGTGCATTTCATGGTTGTGTTTTTGTAGGTCTGTGTATAGATAAGAGTTCATTGTTTGGGTTTAGAATTGCATATGTTCTTGCCCATGAGTAGGAAGTCAACTGCCAATTGCCCCCACTTCTGGTTAAGAGAGACGCTCTGCTCAAGTTGAAAATAGGTTCCAGGAGGATATATTATAGTCTACATTCTGTTGCACCAAAAAGTTGGTGCATTTTAGAAATTAAAACAAAAAAGATGCTATCATGCAAATCAGTGCTTGAAATGTGGCTTCTTTTCTCTTGACAGATGATGTCTGTTCATCCTGACTATTGTGTTTCCACACAGATATTAGACAAGTTGATGGAAATAACAGTAAAAAATGGTGAGTGTTTGAAGAATAGAAAACTGACTGACGAAACAGAAACATTTTCCTTAAGTATGGACAGATGATGGGGAGCAGGGAAAAGACACTGGCTCTGTTCTGTGAAGCTACAATGATTTGGGGTCCTTCGGGTACTTGGTGCACGTATGGTAGGAGTTGGTCTTCACTGAGTATATACAAGCTGTACCTCGGGATGTGGTCTTGGCACGTATTTGCAAAGCAGTGCAGCAGGTACAGAGCCTTTTAAACATTCTGTTGTTTTTACACAGACAGAAATAATCTTAAGAGTAGCCCAGTCTGGTTGCTTAAAAGGGTTGTGTGTGTGTGGTTCCCCCCCACCCACCCTTTTCTCCCTGTCTTCTACTTTGGAAGCTGCAGACATTTGTTTCACAGCTTAAGGGCTGCAGGATGGTGCTCATGTAGTCTTACACAGCGTGTAGTTTTGCGTAGTTCTCTTTCTGGGTATACAGCAAAAGTGAAAAGAACCATATGCCTGCACAGAAACACTTTCAGGGTCTGCTCCAACCCACGCTGCTGTGTTCCTGTGTTTTGCCTTCCTTCATCTGTATTCTCTAAAGACTTCTCCAGTACCAGTTCCTCTCTGTGTTCTCCATGTCTTCCCTTCATCCAGATCCGTCAAAAGTCACAGCTTTGTTTAAGCCTGCAGTTAACTTTGTTAAAATAATGCGTGATTAGGTCTATCCAAATTATTCCATGTATTTCAATCTTGAGCAATAGGACCATGAGCTGATATGAGAGGGAATGTGGCCTCTTTCATTTTGTGCTTTGCTGGCAGTAGGCTTGTTGCTGAGTGAACAGTTCAAGTTGATCAATGAGCAGGCTAAGAATTAAGGCTGGGAGAAATCTCAGCAAATTCTTGGACCTTTCYATTTCCCTCACAGCAGGATCAAATGGGCTACAGTTGGTCCTGGAAAGTTTGTCTGACCACTTCAAAATTTATCGTCTCCAAATCATTCTTAGACACTCTATTCCCATACCTGAGGATGCCTCTTTTTTTTTCCTGAATTGAACATTGAGATCTGAACCTGTAGAGTTCTGAGTGTTGCATTTCATTTCTTTTTTTTTCTTATAGTCTGAAGATGCCAAAATTTACCCAATTCAGAATTCTGTTGACTACTGTCATTATTTGGAGAACACTTATGTCTAGTTTCATGTCACCTTGCTAGCTTAGCATCCTTTAAGATCCTTCATACAGTTTGCAAACACATGCAGATGTGAATTTTGATACAAACAAGCTTTTTGCAGTGAGCATTGTTGCTTGTTTCTGTCAAATGAATGAATTCCATCTATTTAGCTCTTCTGTTTTAGGAGCTCTCCCTATTTCTAAATCTTATTTAGCACTACTTCCAGTCCTGTTATGATAGYGCCCTCTTACCTGTGCAGAACACAAATTACTGTTCTGTAAACCTTGCCTCTTTGCTTATGGTGCTGTGATAAGAGAGAGCCACGAGGGGAGAGTAGGTGAAACTTAAAATAATTGGCCTTTTACATAAGAAAGAAGTTCCATAAGCAAGAGGCTCCTTTAGTTTGCAGTGCTGTGTTAAGCCGTTTTCCCCTCTATTGTTCTGAAAATAATGTATCATCCGATGCTGCAACAAATCTTCTGAGATTAGTGCTAGCAGAATCAATGCAGAYTGAGCAGATTTGTTTCCCTTAAAAAGAACTGATGCTGAAAACTAAGTTTAAAACTAATCCATTCCGTGTCTTTTACTTGTAGCTTCCATCAGTGATGAACAGTCTAAGCCATGGATCCCTTCACTAGCTGATGTGTCAGCWGTGTTTGTCAATATGGGTGTTGCGTTTAGATCTCTCTTTCCATTGCAGCATCTTCAGCCCAACTTTAACGAGTGTGATATTTTGTAAGTGTTTTCCTTTTGATATTTATTGCTTAGATCCAGTGAAATCTTGTGCTTAGAATGTAGAATCAGGAAGGTCTCCTTTTCCCCCTGACCCTTCCATCAAGCAGTGCTGCACTTTAAGTTCTAAACTCAGTCTTTGTGAAATAAACTGAAACCTAAACATTTTCTGCCAGGTAAGGATTCAAATCAAAGGGTTGTTTTCATGTCCTAAGGCTTCCTAGTGCAGAYTTTCAGGAATAGTTGCCTAGAAGACTGGGAGGAATTAAAAGCAATTTTTACATAGATGTCTCTGCTCTGTAACTGAGGCTGTTTTTGAAGGAATTTTAAAACACTTTTTTTTTCAGTTTAATGCAGTTAGGCTGTTGCGGGCTTTCTAATTATTAATTTACTGATCAGATTAGCATCTCTTTTATTAGAAGTCACGTGCAAGAAACAGTGAGCAAAAACCAGCTAGGAGGGGATCTCGTCACTGCCAGACCAGCCTTCACTGCCGTCCCAGAAACCAACCTAATTAATGTGATCAAGGTGAGAAATCTCAAACTCCAGTTGCTGTGTAAGCTTTATTTTTTATTTCCCTCACTCCCAGCTGYGCTGTTCTGTTTCTGTCCTCCTGCTGTAGCACTCTGTCAAACTCCCCTGAGCCGCTTCACTCCCTAGTGTACAAGAAACAGGTCATTTGTGTGTCCCAGCAGAAGTGGGAAGGGGAATTGCTCTTGGCCACTGTGTTTTGTGCTGCTTTGGCTTCTTAGTGGAGCGCTCTGAGCTGCAGTCTGGGCCTGTGCAGCACAAGGTGAATGAGATGGGAGCTCACGAGGGCAGCRGGATCCCATTTGAGGAGCTGAGCTTAGATCCGTGCCCTGACCTGTGAGACCATTGGCTGCACGAGTGTTGGTCACACTTCACAGGCCACTTCTCCTTGAGTACAGGTCTTGTAAAATCATAGACTGAGCAGCCAATTTCAGATTTCCTTGTGGGAGTATTTCAGTCTTCCTAACACTTCCTTGGAGAGATTTGTAACTRTAAAGCCTCTAGGTTCAGGAGGGGACACTTTGAGCATTGCTGCTAGAGACAATACAAATCTATCTTGGTTAATTTGTTATCTCATTTACACTCRCATCCTCTATACTGTGTTGTGGGCAGCCCTTACAGTAATTCTTGAGTGGGGAGAAACCATTTGATGGTTGTTTTGAGTATTACTTGTGTAATTAGCAAGCCTGTTGGCAGCCTTTCATCTGGCTGGAGTAAGATTATCCGTGCAGTGGAGAAAGATCTTCCCTATTATTCTCAGGGGATATTGCCATCGTTCAAAAATGCTTCTCTAAATGGTTGCAAGATGAGCCTTCAGGAGGCAGTTACAAGAAAAAGAGGGTGGATATAAACTGATATCTGAGAGATGGGGAGATATTTGTTACATAAGCACATTATAAAAACCATTTGTTATTTGGAATGCATCTTAATGTGAGGGTGGAAAGCTTAAATTTTCATCCTATTTTAGAGGAACTAAGCCAATTTTGTATTTTAATGCTTTTTATTTCTTTTAAAGTTTCTAGGCTTTTGTATAACAGTCTGTCAAGGCGGATATACTGATCAAGAAATAGTGCTGCTGCTTCTATCACTATTCAAAATAAGCTTGGAGAAACAGTTAAAGCAAATTCCTTTGATAGATTTTCAGTGCCTCTTCGTGAAGCTTCTGAAAAGTATAAAAGACTGGGATACAAAGGTAACTTCACAATTAATTTTGTAGTACTAAATATATTAAATCGCAACTTAAATTTTGAGAAATATACTATTTTGATGTTTTCATTCATAAAAATGAAACTTTTTGGGCAAGTGGGGAGAGATCTGAGGTTTTCATTTTTTTTTTTAATGTATCAAAAAATACTGTTGGAAAATGTCATGTGAGCAAATTGGGAGCAGTGAAAGGTGTGTGATTAGCATGTGGGAGGGCATGTGGAAAATGGCTTTGCCCCATACCGTTGTGCTTGTTTCCCCTGTTCTGCAAGGGAACTGTTGCATTGAACTAACCAATAATTTTACATATAACCAAATCCTGTATGTTTTAAATGGCTCTTTGAAAGAGTGAAACAAGTGATTGTGCTTGCTGCCTGTCAGGAAACAAAGCCTTATCTCAGTTATCTTACTGTAAAATAGTATAGGGTGGACCTAACTACAGTTGAAATACCTAGATATCTTTATGCACATCAGGTCTTATTAGCCMAATTCCTTTTAATAATTATGTAGTGTATGTTTGTGGGGAGTAGATGTGTACAAGAAACTGCCCACTATGCCCTTTATTCGGTAGCTTTGGGTTTTCTTGCTTTTCTTCTCTTGAAGATGCCTGAGCTCTGCCTGGCACTGAATGAACTCTCTAGTCAGCACCATAATCTCCTGTGGCTGGTCCAGCTGGTCCCGAGCTGGATAATACGTGGCAGGTAAGGACACTATAAAATCAGAAATATGTAATGTAACAGTTGGTTTATTTCTATAAGCCCAGAGTTGGATAAATGCGATAGGTATTACATGGTGCTTTAAAAATATTTGTGTTCTCTTGTATCTTAAAAATGTACGTGCATAGGGTTTTTGTTTGTTTTAATTGCATATATGYCATCGTAATCAGTTCTATTGAGTTATTTTATCTACAGAGTGATTTTTACATTTTAGCCTATATACCTTATAATTACCTGGACTTGGAGCACCCTGGAATCTTATAGTAAAGGGTTTTACTCACACTTTTGTCTGAATGATGCCTAGATTAAATGCTGGGTGATTCATGTCCGTTGTTAAATGTTACTCTTATTGAATTCTTATTGTAAAGTGTTACTCTTATTCATACTGAATTCTATGGAATTACCTATATTCAGAAAATACAACCAACTTGTTCTAGGCMAATTTATGTCTAGGGAAGCCATGTATAACCTCTCAGTGCTGTGTGGAAATGATGTGGATTTGAGGCATTCTCTGTGGGGGAAAAAAAAGTTAAAAGAAGTTTTATTTTTCAGGCAAGTAAGAAGACGACTTAGCCTGGTGATAATTTCAAAGCTTCTTAATAAAAAGCATGTAAGAATACCCGACACCAGTGATGAGCAGGTACGACGTGCTGTGTGTTTGTGTGTATGTGTGTGTGTAATTTGCCCCCAACTCTGAAGTGTATCAGAAGAGGAAAGCTGCTTGAAATTTTAGAAATTCAGAAATTTTAGAATAGATATATTTTTAATTGTATGCTKTTTTGTCTTAGTGCTGTAAACCTATTTTCCTGTTTAATAATACTGAAAAATGTTAAATTAATAACTMTTAGTTATGATTAGGATCAAAGATATTTTAATGCATATACAGAACCTTCTGCAGTTTAAGTACAGTGTTTATGGATGTGCCTACACAGTCATTTTGGACGTTGTAAATAATTCAGTGCTGCTTTCTGCTTTCCTTTTGATTTTTCCATAAAATAACTATTTCATTAGGATTGATGCATTAATAGGGCAACACACAAACACTTGAATTTGTGACTAGTCATGGAAGAACCTAAGGCATGAAAATCTTTTTAGTTCAAGTCTCTTTTATATATATGCTTGTCTGAGTGAATGAATATATTATATTGCCGTGGCAGTTGATATCTAATTTTCCTGTGTCAGTAGATGAGTCTGGTACCTTGAAATGTTTATTTTGTCTCTAGATGTCTCTTCTGCGTCAGTACCTGGTGTGCATGAAACCTTCTAGTCTGCTGAAGAGGACAAGAGAAAGATTAGAGCAGCAGAACGATGTCAACGGAGAGCACCTTCATTCAGACCTGGAACAGCAGGTATTTAGCTAATAGTAAACTTCTGCATTTGTAGTCTTATGCATTTTTCATAAATTGGAGAACATTTCTTTTAACTTGTGTTAATTGCTTGAAGAGTTCTGTATGGATAATGACTTACAGTATTTTGTGTTTATTTTGCTTTTCATGTGTATAGGTTAAAAATGTTGCTCATATTCCCTTTTGCTGGTAGTAAAGGAGGAGGGAAAGAAGCAGTACATGACCAAGGAAGCTGTGCTAGGTTGTGTTGCAGTCAGAGACAGTCAATTTTTTCATGTGGTGAAGTCACCTGAATGGTTTTGGCCTGTCTTCCAAGCATGCTATAATCACAGGACTGTATTTCCTTCCTTCTAATGTAACAAGTGATTGATGCAAGACCTAAATTTCCACCTGCAGCCTTTAGAATAAGATACTTTAATGATGCTTTTCTTAAAGCCCTATTAGAAAGGTAACCTGGTAAAGATTTAGTATTTCCACCCAACTGAAAATTAGATGTTAATTTGTTTGAGTCTACCAAGAAATCTCTTAGCAATTAGCTGGATTTGGATGTAGATGACAGGGGAACAAAGCCAAYTAGTAAATTTAATTTTCAATTATTAAAACTACAGAAAACCTTGTATACAACTTAAGTAATCTTAAACAACGGAATACTGTTTTAAAATGTTACAAGCATTTAAATATGCTGGGTTTTTTAGGCAAATACATAGGGCCATTGAAGTTCCCTGGATGGAATCATTCCAGAAAGCAAGGATCATGCTGTCTTTAAATGTGAAYGGTTATGTTTGAGTTTTGAATGCTAAAGTTCTCTTGACTTCTCTTTAGACTTACTACCTAATCTACATCCTGCTTCATCTCGTCAGTGAAGCTAGTTTCTTTGACGTTGTAAATTCTAATCAAAGGGTAAGTAAATTTTGTGACTAGATCTTTGTATTTTAAAGGTTATCATGTGTGTTTGGTCCATTTTGCTAAGAGCTATCATGTGATAACAGATCACCAGAGGATACCTGCGCTGTCTTGAAAGCAACTACAGATTAACTTAATGCAGAAATTCTAAGAAATTTAAGAAAAGAAAATGAACTGTGTTACTGCTTATGTTTCTGAAAATGTTATCTTTAGCTGTTGTAAATTCAGAACTTTTTATTGAAAAAAAGAATTTGAACAATATTGTTCTTGCTACTTTAGGGAAACAAAGGTCTTAGCTAGGAGGAACTCTCTAAAATTTGTGATACAATTCTGCTCTGATACACCTGTGAAATATATATATATATACACACACACACACACA